CTTCTCCTCTCCAGCTGAGCACCCCCAGCTCTCCCAGCCTGGCTCCAGAGCAGAGGGCTCCAGCCCTGGAGCAGCTCCATGGCCTCCTCTGAATCTCTCCAGCAGCTCCATCTCCTCCCTGTGCTGGCCCCCAAGGCTGAGGCAGCTCTGACTGAGCAGGGCACAGGGGCTGAATCCCCCCTTTCCTGCTGCCCACGCTGGGATCAGCCCAGGGCAGGGGTGTTTCTGGGGCCAGCACACAGGGCTGGGGCACACTGAGCTCATCCACCAACATTGCCAAACCCTTCTCCTCAGGGCTTTCCTCCATCCATTCTCTGCCCAGCCTGTGTTTGTGCTTGGGGTTGCTCTGACCCAGGTGCAGGACTTGCACATGGCCTTGTCAGACTTCCCAAGGCCCTTACAGCCCCTTCAGCCTGGCAGGGTCTCTCTGGAGGGCAACCCAACATCACCAGGGGATCCAGAAGACTTGGCATCAGCCCTCTGGATGAAGGCATTTCTTTTCTGTAAATGAAATGTTCCAGGACTCCTCCACATCCAGTGGTACAAGTGAACAACCCCAGGCCCAGTGTGGAGCAGAGGGGAGCAGCTGAGCCATGAATGAGAGACACCAGACCTATCTCTGCTGGAGTCAGGGACATCTCCAAGGTTCTTCTGCACTATGAGTGTGTTGTTACTGCTCCTCCTATCTGGACTTGAGTTTTTCTCCAGGCTGTCTGGGGCAGCAGCTTCTTTCCCTCCAGGAATTTTTTGGGAGGAAGTTTCCCAAGGCTGTGTGGGGGTGGCCAATCTCTGCTGGCTTGGCTCCTATCAGGAGGACAGGCTGCTGCAGGTACGGCCCCACAGCAGAACCCTGCTAAGCCTGCTGTCTCTGCTGCCTAATGACTTTCTCAAGGTATTTTTAGCTGCACATAAACTTCAGGAAAAGCTTTTTTGCATCCGAGGACACTGTGGCCTTTGTTCTGGCTTCTGGGAATGGGGAGGTGCTGGCTCGGCGTGGCTGCGGTGGCTGGCACAGCCCTGTCTCCTCACAGGGTCTGTGAGCTGCCCCTGTTTGAGGGGTCTCAATGCCCCCTGGAGCAGTGCTGAACCCCTGCTGACCTGCTGTCCCCTGCCCTGGCTGGGGAGTGCTTTGGCAAAGCCTCTGGTTCTGGAGGAGCATGGAAAGGGCAGTTCTTCCCAGGTGTTGGGATGGCCATGGGCCCCCACCATGGCTGCAAACCAGCTCACCTCTGCCTGCTGCCAACAACAGTCTCTGTTGTAAAGTTGAACAGCCTCTGTTCCACTTGCAGATGGAATTAGCACATTAAATGTCTTGGATTGTTGCTTGAAGCTCTCTAGGCTGGAGGGACAGGGGTGATAAGTGCCTTCCCACAGGCTGTGTGTTCCCCTCACTGCTGGGATGCTGGAATTGCACAGGGGATGCAGCTGTGGGGTGGCTCTGGACACTCTACGTGATGCTGCATCTCCCCTGCTGTGATCTGGGCATCTGTTCAAGGCTTGTGAGTGGCTGGTGAGACACACATTGCCCTGTGTCACCAGTACAGCCACTGCAAGTGTCCCTTGCAGGGAGCTGAGCTGGTATTTGCTCCTGTTTTCCATGGCAGGAATACCTGGATGTTGGCCCAAGGTCAGTCTGTGCCCTGCCCATGCTCACAGGGAAGCTGGGACAAGGGAAATCGCAGATTTCCCCTATTATAGCAAGATTAGTCAGCATTTGGAAGTAGAAACTCAGCCTTTCAGAGCAAAGTTGCCAGCTGGAGAGTTTAGAAGCAGTTGCCACCTCCCTTCCCATTGTAAGGGTACTTGGTTTGGGATTTGTCAACTTTCCACCAGGCAGCAGGCAGAAGACAGAAATGGTTTTGTAATTCCAAATTGCAAATGGACCCTTTGCTGTGCCTGTGCTGAGGAGCCTCTGCCAGGAGAAGCAAGAAGGAGCCCAGGTTGCTGCTAAATATCTGCCTTTCCTCCTGGTGCAGAGGGAGGCAGGCAGGACCCAAGCTCACCTGTGGGCTCTGCTGCCTTGTCACTCTGCCAGGCACTCTAGATCATGCCTGTGCTTTCACAGGAGTCTCCTATCTCCGTCAGGACCACTGGCTTTTCTTCATCTTCATTTTGTTAACCTTTGTCTGTGAAATAGCCCTGTCACTGAACTCCTTTCTGTACCAGTGGGTGCCTTGGAATGCCCACTCTGGGATACTGAGGATGCCTAAAGATGCTTCTCCCTCTTGGGGGAAGGAGAGAGTGGGCTGGAAGGAGCAGGTCTGAAAACAAGAGTTATTCTTAGTCACCTGCAGCATTTTCCTGCTCCATGGAGTGGAGAGCAGGGCTCAGTGTGCTTCCCTGGCTCCCTGCTCAGCTCAGGACTGGGGTCAGGGCTCTGTGGCCATGAGCCAGGCACTGCTGTGATGCCCTTGGTCTGTGTGAACTGTGGCAGGACACAGCTTCAGTCTGGGGCCTGGGACCCTTCAGGCTGGTCTGGGAACTCCTCTCTGGCTGCAAAGAGCAGGAAGGGCCTTTTCCAGGCTCATGGGCAGCTTGCTGCAGGCAGGAGCTGCAGGAGGGATTTGCAGGCTGTTCAGTGGGTCACAGCCAACAGGGCACTTGGGCTTGGTCAGGACCATCAGGCTGGTCTAGGCTCACCTCTGGGCAGTTGCCATCTGGTGACCTGCTCAGAGCTTGGGCTACCTTGCAGAAACTGCCTCAGTGCCAGCGAGTCACACGGTGGCTCTGAGAGCCAAACCACATCCTCTGCAGGTGATGCTGCCCACATTTCTTCCTGAGAGAGTTCATGGCCTTGCTCAGTGATGCTGTGGGAGTTAGAAACTGTGGAAGTGCTCACAGGTTCACTTCCAGCCCACCTTTCTGTTGGTGCACCTGAGCTGGGCAGGATTGGACAGAAATGACTTGTTGGATGGTGCTGCCTGTAACGTAGAATAGGGACTTTCACTTGGTGGAGTCTGTGGGCTCATCCTGAGGGTCCTGGAAAGGCTGTGAACTTTCATGCTCCTAGTAGGAGGCTTGGAATTTACTACCTGCACCTTCATGTGGGGCTCTGCATGTCACACAGCTGAATTCTGGTGGAAATTCTCAGTGGAATTCTCTCAGTGGCCACTACCCTCTGGAACTCCCACCTCCCTCCCTTCTGCAGGGCAGGAACAGCACTTGCTCCTACTCCTTGTCAGGTGCAGAGTCCCTGTACTGAAATGCAGAAGTTGCACAGGACGGTGGATGTATTCCAGTTACCCCTTTGCTTTCTAAAAGTAGGGATAATGGGTGTAAGATCAATGTTGAATGGTGCCTGTTAAAAGACAGAAGCCCTCAGGGCAGCAAACAAGGGCTGGGTTCATGGAGTCGTTCACATTAACCAGGCTTTATCCTGGACTCAACCAGCCAAGGCACCTGCTGCACCTCACCTGGCACCTTACTGAGCCAGGCTGCCCAAGAGGAGCAGGAGAGGCTGTCCCACGGCTGCCTCCGAGCCTGCCCAGCTCTGAGCATCAGCCCTGGCAGCGAGGGAAGAGCCTGGCTTGGTGCCTCCACCTGGTGACAGCGCCGGGTGCTGCATTTTAGCCTACATAATTCGGGTTTGTTTGGGGGACAGGAGGGGAATCTGCAGGGAGGTGTTGGCAATGGGCAAATCCTGCTCCTCTCTGTGAGGCCAGAGTGTACAAATAGACATCTCTGCTGTTCTCCCTTTGAAGGGAGGTGTTCTCCCTTTGCAGGGATCCACGATGAGGCGAGTGTTGGATTGTTTATCCCGCTGTCCCTGCGCTGCGGGGACACACTCACTGTGCCTCGTCCCCATGGGGTGGCTGAGTGAGCAGAGAGGCAGGGATCTAGCTTTTCATAGCATAAATGATGCACCGAGTCCTGCCTGGGCTGCTGTGTCACTGGGGGGGATTTACTCTTCTTTCCCCCACCTCCCCCTTCCATGTAATCCACTTAATCCCCTGACGACAGGACTCGATTACTGTGGCTCTGCAGAGCCAGCGTTGCTAACGGGCAAGCTGCCTCCCCCTGCCTGCAACAACAAAAGCACCAGCCAGAGCTGGGCTTTTGGTACCTCCAGTAATGATCCTGCAAAGCAGAACAAACACAGCTCGATTTACTGGGCATCCAAGCCTCCTCTCAGCTCTGCCACTTTAAAAACAAAACCTCTTGTGTATGCAGGGATTTAACAAATATGGATAAACCTCGGTGGTTTCCTTACTGAAGACAACTTTAGGAGCTGCTGGATCACACTGTGGGTCTAATTCAGCTGTGACACTGCCCTGGAGGGAATCTGGGAGTGTTAGAGGGTGGATGGAGTTGGGGAGTTGGAACCTGTTGTTTTAGCCATGCACTGGATCTTGGCTCTGCCCTGTGCCTCGAGGCTGTTGCAGAGCAGTGGTTGAAGGAAACAAGTGCCGAGGTAAATGTGTGGCAATATTTTTCTGAGCTCCTGTTGTCTCAGCAGCCAGGCTGAGGTATTGCAAGCCTCTTCTTGGGTCCAGGGGTGATGGACCTCTGGTTCCAGTGGCTGAACCCTGTGCAGTCTGTGAAGGGCTTGGTATGTGGCTGAGGGTGCAGTGGCTTGATGCCCACCAGAACTCCCTACCACCTTCAGACAGTGCCTGTGATTTCTCACATCCCCCCTGACTGCCTGACAGGGGGAAGACTTGAGGAAAAATAAACCCACAGCAGCCCTACTCTGTGCCCTGTGTCAATAGCCTGGGATAACCACTTGCTGTGGCACTGGGATCACTTAGAGCCTGCCCTAAATGACCTTATTTACAGCATATCTTCCTACAGAACCTCTCCTGTCCCAAGGAGGGTTGGGTGGCAGCAGGTGCTCCTGTTGGCTCAAGCCTGTTGGATCTGGAGCTGTCCAGTGGCTGTAGGCAGCAGAGCAGGTGGTGTGTGGTTCCCTGGGTGGTGGCCTCTCTCCCCCAGAAGATCACACACTCCAAGGTAACAGCCTCTCAGCCTGTCCCATGTACACTTCACTCTTGTTTCCACAGGGGTCCTGACAGCTGGAGAGCACAACTTTCCCTTCCAGTTCCTGCTGCCAGGTAAGATGTGGCTGAAGGCCCTTCCCTGTAAACCTTGGATTTTGCATACACTTCCAGTTCAGAAACTGGCCTGCCTCAGCCTTATGACATCGTCTTTCTCTCTCAACTCCAGCTTCTGCTCCTACATCATTTGAAGGCCCTTTTGGCAAGGTCCTGCATCAGGTGAAAGCTGTGATAGACACACCTCGCTTCTCCAAGGACTACAAATGCAACAAGATCTTCTACGTTCTCTGCCCTCTCAACCTGAATGACATCCCTGACATCGAGGTAAGAACGAGGAGGGGCATGGCTGGAAATGCCAACACCTCAGCACTTGTCCTGCTGTCTGAGGAGTCACTGAGTGGCTGGACAGCTCTGACTGCGTGCTGTGACTATGCAAGAGCAGGATAAGGACTCCTCATCTCTCCTGCCTTTCTGTCAGTACCTACTCCAGGTGATTTCTGACCCTTGTGTGTGTTGCTCTGAAAGGTTTATGTGAATTTTCAATATGCAGAGAGATATGTTAGCCAACAGCTTCAGGTGCTTGGAGACACTTGGGTCTGGGGAATTTGCTTTGGAGAGGAAAGCAACTAATAGGACAGTAGAGCTGTGGGGCTGGAGAAGTGAGACCTGTTGTCTGTGGCATTGCCATGTTGCTGGTTCTTTGCATCCTCTTAGAAACAAATATTTCTGCTTGCTTGTTTTGAATCCCTTGAGTGTTTTTCCAGAGGTTCTCTGACTCTCTTGAGCCAACACCTTTGTCTCTGCCATCCTGCAGCAGCCCAACACCATGTCCATCACCAAGAAGTTCAACTACAAGCTTGTGAAAAGTGGCAACATCGTCCTGACAGCCACGTCTGACCTGAAGGGCTACATCGTGGGCCAGGCCATCCAGCTCCGCACAGACATTGAGAACAAGTCCGGCCGCGACACCGGCGCTGTGGTGGCCAGCCTGCTCCAGGTGGGTGCCCAGTGGGGCCATTCTCTGGTTTGGCTGCTGCTCCATCCCAGGGAGGTCTTTGTGAAACTGGGGCAGCGAGGAGCCAAATCTCCACCTCTGGTCCTGTCTACCATCCTGGGGAAAGAGGACCTAGAACTTGTCTTCCTTATCCCTGCTGAGTCTGTCACACAACAGTGGGTATTCCTGCTCTGGAACATGCCCCTCAGGTCTGTGCTTGTGCCTATTTGACAAAGCAGTTGGGTGGGGTTGTGTCCTGGCTTACGTTTGTGGGAGACAGAAGACCACCTGCAGCCTCTGAGCCAGCTGTGTTTCCTCCTGTCTGTGTAGAAAGTGGCCTACAAATCCAAGCGCTGGATTTACGACCTGAGGACCATCGCTGAGGTGGAAGGCTCAGGGGTGAAAGCCTGGAAACATGCAGAATGGAAGGAGCAGATCCTGGTTCCAGCACTGCCACAGTCCATTCTGCAGGGCTGCAGCCTCATCCACATTGACTACTACATCCAGGTGAGTTTATCTGCAGTATCCCTGGGCTGGGCCGTGGTTCTGTGCCCCCCTCCCAGGCTGAGCAGTGTGGTCTGGTTGGTCCAGGCATCAGGTGAACCTTCCCACTGCCATGTATAATGAGGATGCCACTGTTTTCCCTTCTCTTCCAGGTCTCTCTCAAGTCTCCAGAGGTTTCTGTCACTCTCCCCATCTACATTGGAAACATTGCTGTGAACAGGGTCCCGCTGAGCCCCTCCCGCTCCATCCAGCACATCCCATCTGTGGTGGTCCCCAGTGCCCCCCCAGAGGAAGAGGAGGCTGCCAGTGGCTATCACCCCATGGACAATGTCTCCATCCCCACCAAAAGCCACTCCCAGCAGCAGCCCTTTAGCTACGCCCCAGGACTGAGCTTCCAGGAGATTCGGGCGGACTCGGAGCAGACGGGCTCCCCAAACCACCCCACACTCTGCCTGTCCACGGGAGCCACTGTCCCCTACTACGCTGAGGGGAACGTGGTGCCTGTCCCCACAGCCAGCTCACTCATCCTGCCCCCGGAGTACAGCACGTGGGGATACCCCTACGGTGAGCAGCGCTCCTGGGATCTGCAGCTGGGGGGAAACAGCTCCTACCAGCAGTCTGTGCTAGCTGTGGACTGCTGGGAATCTGGGGATTCAGTCAGTTTGCTGCAGGCTGCTGTCAGAGGGGATTGTGACATCTCTCTGCCTGATTTAGCCTCTGGAGGAGTCCCCTCATCCAGCTGTAAAAGCCAGCTGTCCTTCCCACATCCACGCCCATGCCTGCCCTGGGCTCTTTGTGAGAGGATCTCCCTGTTCTTAAAAGAGCTTTCAGCCTCCCACTGATAAAAAAACTTCTTGGCTTGTGGTGAGGATGGTGGGAGCATAGCCAGGAAAATGATGTCACTGAAATCTTCTGTCTGACTTGGAGTGGGCCTGCAGCTGGTCTGAAGCTGTGGGGGTGGGAGCTGAGAAAGTGTCCAGGGTGGAGCAGCTCAGGGAAATCCCAGAGTGCTGGATTCCTGCAGCCAGGCTGGGGTGGCAGGCCCAGCAGTGTGTGCTGGATTCCTGCAGCCAGGCTGGGGTGGCAGGCCCAGCAGTGTGTGCTGCATGCATTTCTGCAGCCAGGCTGGGGTGGCAGGCCCAGCAGTGTGTGCTGCATGCATTTCTGCAGCCAGGCTGGGGTGGCAGGGCCAGCAGTGTGTGTTAGCACACTTGTACCCAAATCAGCCCCTCTCTTTGCACTGGCGTAACTGAACACTCCATGTGTTACTTCAGGCCTGGGTTTGGGCACACAGAGCACGAGTGATCTGGATGTGCTGGAAGATAGGAGGATGCTTGGGAAAGAAAGAGAGGAAGAGAACAGGAGTGTGAGGTGGTGATTTTAACCTCCATGGGCATCAGAGCAGGGATGGGACTGACTGGCTCAACTCCTACAAACCCCCTGTACCTCAGCTGGGCAGGCAGTGGGGCCCTGGCAAGGAGTGTGTGTTGGTGGGTTGCTCCGCTCTGCACTGGGTTACACAGACTGGGGTGAAGGGAACCTCCCAAACGCCCACCATAACCTCTCTCATTCTTCCTTTTCCCCACAGAGGCACCTCCATCCTACGAGCAGAGCTGCAGCAGTGCCAACTCCAGCATCAGCAATGGCAATTAGCCCTCCCCTGCTCCGACCCCACCAGTGCTGCCCACCCTGGCACCACGGGGCACCCGCCTGTGGCAAAGTCTGGTACAGCACAAGGCGTCTTCTTGTCTCTCTGGCTGCTTTGGGGGGGAACTGCCACATCCCAGCCTGGGCTTTTTAAGTCTTTTTCTAGGGAGGGGGTAAAAAACCAAAAAGGGCAGCCAGAGCAGCCTGCATGTGTGTAGGAGAGGTCTGGGAAACTGAACAGTCTCCCGCTGCTGCACCAAGTGCTGGAGAGCTGGATGTGGCCCTGGGCCCTGGGCAGCAGCCTGTTCCAGTACTGTAGTCAACACTAACTGCTTTACTATCAAAGCACCTGCAATGCCTTACCTGAAACGCTCCTGACTTGGCACAGCTCCACTCTAAGGGAAGGCTGGGCTGTGTGGACTTGCTCTCCTCTTTTAGGGGCTGTGTGCTCTCCACAAATGGTTTTGACAGCCCTTCCTCCTTGTCCTCAGAGGTCCTAAGGGTAGCAGGAGGTTTCTTGGAGTAAGCAGGTTCGGAAGGTCAGGGACTTAAAAAAAGCCAAAAGCACAAGCCCTCGCTGTACCTGAGCTGTGGGGGAGTGACTGGCAGTGTGAGTGGCCATGGGCACGGGGGGGCTCGTGGGGGCACTTGCTGATGAGCCCTGGTGAGCTCTGGGGAAGATCCTGCTGTAGGATGGGGTGCCCTTTTCCAGCACGGCTGGCTTTTCCCCACAGAGCCCTGTGGGACACAGCCCACCCTTGCTCACTGCTGGGCCCGGGCACGCAGGACAGCAGCACTGCTCCCTCTGCAGCAGGGGCACCACACTCCATGTCCCTGCAGGGTGCCCTCTCCTCCCAGGCTGCAGTTATGTGACCATCAATCACAAAAGTCTGTCTGATGCTACCTCTGAGTCTGCCCGGGGGCCCTGCCCGTGGGATCCCTCTCCGTGGGGCTGTCCCTGGGAATGGCTGTGCCTGCCCAGGCAGCCCACAAGGTGTTGGGTGCTGGGCCAGGGCCCTGTGGTGGCACTGGTTTGCTGTGTGTCCCCTGGGCCTGAGCAGAATGTGACAATCAACATGGCCCGTGTGGGAGCTGCAGCCTCCGCTGCACCCAGCAGTCGGGGGATCGAGCTGGGTTTTCTCGACATTTTTCTTTTGTGCTTTTTCCCCCCACACACCTTGTTTAGATTGTTTAGCATTGACTGCCCAAGCTGAGGAAACCACAAGCCACGTCCCTCAGAGCCACAGGTGCCCAGCCAGGCTGCAGTTGTGGCCTCCAGACCTTTGGCACCTCAGAGCTGTCCCCACATGGCCCAGACTGGGCAGGCAATACCTGACAGACCTTTAGGAGCATTTCCAGCCGCTGCCTCCTTGCTCAGCCACCTCTGCACACCCTTCAGGCAGCTGGGACAGGCCCTGCTTTGCACTCTTTCTTTGCAAATGCTTTTTTATTTTTTTTAAGCATTGAACTGCTTTAAGGGTAGTGTAGCAAAGGTGCCATTCTGAGCAGTGCTGGCACAACATGCACCAATGATGGTAGAGTGATTGTCATTGTCCCTGAATATATATAAATATATATATATATGAGATGAAGTTGTTTTTAATGATTGAATTCAGAAATACAAATTTTAATGCTGTATTTAATAAATTATTCTATGAGAAATGCTGTGCTTTTTCATCCATTTCTGATGCTATCCATGTGCCTGTTCATGCCAAATCAGGAATGCACCTTGCTGATTTCTTACAAAATGAAGTTTTTTTGCTCTCACCAGGAAGGGTGGTGAACTCTGCCAAGGCAGCTTGGGGAAAACAAACACAGTGTGGCCTGACCACAGTGCCAGGCTCTTAATTCCACATGGCTGGAGGGAATTTGGCCACACGTGGGATTGGCTCTGGAGAGAGCAGCCACTGCACTGCTGCATCCCAGGCCCTGTGTCCTGAAGCCAGGATTTGTCCAAGTGGCCCAGGAGTCCTGGGCAGTGCTCACTGCTGGCAGGGGAGGAGGGGGAGAGCAGAGACTGCCTTTAGGAGGATTGAATTGGCATAGCCACAGTTTGGCTGGAAAGGCTGGAGACCACCAGCCCCAGCCCTCTCCTAAAGAGCCATTTGGAATAAACTTATTCAAAGAGGAAGAAGGCTCCTCCCCACAACCCACTTTGGTCATCCCATGGCTGAAGCATGCCAGTGTTGCCTAAATGTTGTCACTGCAGGTAGCCTGGGGTGTGATCTGTGTCTCAGACACAAAGATCCTTCTTCATTCTCTTCTCAGCTTATGCTTCTGCCCAGCTCCCATGGTTCAGACTCTCCTTTGTCGGGTGGTCCAGCCTGCCATGAGCAGCACTCTTCATCCACAATGGGCCAAAGGCAGGTACAGCTCTTCCCCAGTGCTCTTCCTCTTCCTCCCACTTGGCTGAACCTGTCTTGCCTGGCTCAGTCTGCAGGTCCTGTGGCCTTCCTTGCTGTTGGCTGTGCAAATCCTTGAACCCAAATCCCTTCCACACCCCTGGAAAAATTCCTATGAGCTGTCAATGCTTCTGGACCTGCTGGGTTGGGCTGCAGGCTGCTGACCCAGCCAGGCTCTGGGAGAGGCAGGCAGGGCTGGGAGCAGGACTGGTCTCCCAGCTCCTTCTCCATCCCTGGGGCTGAGCTGCTGCTGATGTGTCCAGCCCATGTTCCTTGGCTGGAAAATGTGATTTCTCTTTGGTTGCTGTGGCCAGAGCCACTGGGCTGTTTTTCCAGATTCCCAGCCAGGATCTGTCCTCCTTGTTCCACCTTTGTTTTGGGAATGTCCTTGTTCCACCTTTGTTTGGGAATGGCCCATCCATGGTGGAGGCTTTGGAGGAGGGAGCCCTCACCCAAGGCCGTGCCCTGTCTGTGCAGTGCTCCTGTGCACCTCAGCTCGCTCTCCCAAATTATATTTGCTACAAACTGGTCTTTGGGCCTCTTGCTGTACACTTTGCAAAGCAAGGAGCAAATGGGGGCACTCTTGTCTGGTGAGGAGTTCCATCACCACCAGCTGCTGTGGAGGGAGCAGGAAGGAGCTGGAGCTACACCTCAGGGTGGGCTTCATCCTTTTGGAGGCCAGGGCTGCTCCCCAGCCCAGCTGCTGTGCAGGGGCCCCTGTCAGCCCTGTGAGGTGGCTCTGGCCAGGGTGCAGCAGGGTGCACCCAGAGCTGGCTCTGAGCAGCCTCATTGTGCAGGAGAATTGACATAACAAGTGACAATCAGTGCTTTCCAACCCTCCTGCCCTGCCTTGGCTGTGCAGAGAAGTGAAACCTGTCACAAAGAGCCTGGCTGATGTTTTATGGAGCCCTTTGAAATGGGCCAGGACTGCAGGATGGAGGGGCTGGTTCACCTCTCCTTGAGCCCCCCTGCAGGGGTGGCCCCAGGGCACTGTCAGCAGGTCCCTGGGGAGGGCTTTGGATGTGGGGCAAACCCAGTATTTGGGGTTGAGTTTGGACTCACCCTCTCCAGAGAGGATCACCCCCTCTGTCCTCTGTCCACAGCCTCTCTGGCTTCCACCTCTTGGGGAGCTCCTTTAGGCCCTTGATCACCACTTCCTCCTCTTGCTAAACACTGAAATAAAGAGGAAAAGCCAATTTTTCTGATCACAGCTCTGGGGAAAGAACTCCAGCATGTAGGGATTCATTCAAATTCCTGGCTCAGATCTTTGAAGAAATTGTTTTTGAGTTTGTTTGAAATGGGGAAGGGGAGCAGTGGGGCACGAGAGAAGGTTGTGAGTTAATTGTTTCCAAACTCAGTGTTCAATGGAAAACACCAAAAATATCATCAGTTCTTTTTCTTTTTTTTTCCCTGCTGCTTTTATGTACTTCATGGTTTTGTTCTTTTCCTACTCTCCACACGTTTCACCTCCATATCTTTGGTATTTTCAATGTTGTGTCCTAAACTTTGCTTTGGCATCTGCTGTCCCGCTGCCTGCAGGAGATGGGGGAAGGGGAGCTGGGGGATGCAAAGGCTCTTCTTTCTTTTGGACAATTATTCTTTTTTAGCTTTCCACTGAATTTCCAGGAGTTTTGTAAAAATAAATATTTTCTGCTAGGATGTTTTCCTGTTAAGCCAGCACAAGACAGGACATACAGGGTGTTCTAGGCTCCATTTGGGTTTTATTCTATATTTTAAAATATTTGCAACTATCTGCAACAAGAATATCCCATCCCTCCTCCCCAAGAGAGACTGGCGGGGTAAAACCCACAAAACTTGTGCCCATTCTTGTACCACTACTCATGGCTGTAATTCTTTATTCCTGTGGTTCTCTTTACAGATTTTGGGGTTTTATACAAAAATTTGTGATGGCTCTGTACAACCTAAGACTTCTGTGCAATTTATAACTGGGTTTTGAAATGTAAACTCGCAGTTTTCCATGTTTACCACAGCTTCTGGGGAGTATTTTTGTCCTGGGTTTTAACCCCCCAAATGTAAAGAACTGGAAAAATGTAAATAAAGATGATCTTTTTTAAGACCAAGGGTGGTTTGCTCTGGGTATGTGATGATCATAAATGATACCTCAGCTGTCTGGATGCTGAGAGCTGATGGTGAGAAGTGGTTCAGGGCTGTCAGTGGAGGCATCCCCCCTGGAGCTGGAGCTTGGAACCTGGTTTAGAAATGAGGTTAAAGCAAAGCCATGGCTCCTGCAGCTCGGCAGGGGGAATGGCTGGGGTGGGAGGGCCCTGCTGGGCTGAAGGAGCTGTTGCTCGCTCTCATGGTAAATCACAGAATCATGGAAGATCCTGAGCAGGAAGGGACCCCAAGGATCACCCAGCCCAGCCCCTGTCCCTGCCCAGACCCCCCAACAAGCCCACCCTGGGCATCCCTGGCAGCGCTGTCCAAAGGCTCCTGGAGCTCGGGCAGCCTCGGGGCCGTGCCCATTCCCTGGGGAGCCTGGGCACTGCCAGCACCCTCTGGGGGAAGAACCTTGCCCTGAGCTCCAGCCTAAAATCCCCCCCGCCGCAGCTCCGTGGGCAGGTGCCGCTGGAAGGACGCGGCTGCGGCCGGAGGAAGCGCCGGAGCGCTGGGGTTGTGCTCTTCCTGCTGGCCGGAATCCCAGGATGTGGAGCTGCGGCTCCGCTCGCCCGGCTCGGGCGGGAGAGGGCGATGTCCGCCCGGCTGGAGCCAGGCGAGGCGGCTCCGGCTGCCCGGCCGAGCCCCCGGCCCGGCCCCGGCTCCCAGCAGCTGCTCCGGGAAAACAGGGACAGCACAGCCCGTCCTGGCCCCGCTGCCCTTCGCTCAGGATGGGTTTGAGGTGAACAAGAGCCGTGGCCGTGGTGATGGGCTGCAAAAACTTTGTGTGATCCTGGTTATTTCGGCTTCTTTTGGGAGCCTCTCCTCATCCTGATGCCTTGGGGAGGTTTGTCCCAGTGGCCGCTGCTTCCCTGTGTCCGTGTGGGAAAGACAGAGCTGCAGCGAACGCTGGAAAGGAGCCAGCAGAGCCCGTCCCGATGCGCGTCCGGCCCCAGCCACCGCGCCCATCCCTGTCCCAGTGCCACCCCGGCGTGCCCGCTCTGGCTTGTAGGAGCAGGGATGAAGGCAGGGAATTCCCAACATCCCACGTGAGGCACTCCCAGCTGGATGGTGATGCCGGCATGCCCAGTGCGGGGTGGGGGATGCTGGCACCCCCAGTACAGGATGGGGCGATGCTGGGTATCCCCAGTACAGGATGGGGCGGTGCTGGGTACCCCCAGTACAGGATGGGGCGGTGCTGGGTACCCCCAGTACAGGATGGGGCGGTGCTGGGTACCCCCAGTACAGGATGGGGCGGTGCTGGGTACCCCCAGTACAGGATGGGGCGGTGCTGGGTACCCCCAGTACAGGATGGGGCGGTGCTGGGTACCCCCAGTACAGGATGGGGCGGTGCTGGGTACCCCCAGTACAGGATGGGGCGGTGCTGGGTACCCCCAGTACAGGATGGGGCGGTGCTGGGTACCCCCAGTACAGGATGGGGCGGTGCTGGGTACCCCCAGTACAGGATGGGGCGGTGCTGGGTACCCCCAGTACAGGATGGGGCGGTGCTGGGTACCCCCAGTACAGGATGGGGCGATGCTGGCACCCCAGGTACAGGATGGGAAGATGCTGGGTACCCCCAGTACAGGATGGGGCGATATCCAGGCTGCCCCCGGCCCTTGACGGAGCAGAGGTTTCCAGAGTTGGCTCTTTGTGCGGGAGCAGTCGCCCCATCCCGGGGGGATCCCAGGGGAAGGACACCCGCCCTGCCACCACCCTCCTCCTCCTCCTCAGCCCATCCGCCGGGAGCGATGGAACCCCCGGGGCCCCTCCGTGTCCCCACCGAGCGGGAGGGGCCGCCCCGGGGGCTCCGCGGGGACGCTGCCACGGCCCTGCCGGTGCGCAGGGGGTTCTCTGGGGGGTTGGTTAATTAATTAATGAATGAGCTGCTGCTGCCAAACGGAGGGAGAGGCGGCTCGGCGGGGCTGCAGCGGGCGGGGGGCGGGTCCCGGGCCCGGGGACTCTTATTTTGACCGCGGCGCTGCCGTCGCTGCCGGGCCGCGCTCCGGGGCCGCCGCCTCCTTCCCCTCCCGGGCCGGCGGCGCCCGCAGCGGCCCCGGAGCTGCTCACCGTGTCCTGGGGGCTCGCCCGAGGCTCTGAGCGGCTTTGGGAGCCTCTCGGGGTCCCTCACACACCCCCGAGTGCCTCCGCTCCCCGGCACCCGCGGGGTCTGCAGGGGCCGGCTGTCCCGGTGGGGAGCGGCCCGGGGTGACCGGAGGGACACAGAGCTCGGGGTGACCGGAGGGACACAGAGCTCGGGGTGACCGGAGGGACACAGAGCTCGGGGTGACCGGAGGGACACAGAGCTCGGGGTGACAGGGAGGGACACACAGCCCTGGGTGACCGCAGGGACACTCAGCCCGGGAGGGCCCCGCTGGGGCCGCTCCGGTGGAGCTCTGCCGTCCCAGCCTGTCCCACAGCCCGGTCAGCGCGGTGTGAGGGCAGCGGGGGCAGCGCAGCCCCCCGGGGCACTCAGGGCATCGAGACAGCGACAGCGACAGCCCCGGGCTGGCACAGCTGTGCCGGGAGTGTCCGGGGGCTGCAGCTGTGGGACGGGAGCGGGATAACCCCGGCTGTGCCCTGCACCCGGCCAGGGCTCCCCACGGCCGCTGCCCCTGCCCGGAGCTCTGCAGGGCGAGAGATTCCCTGGAAAGCGCAGTGGGAACCCTGAGTGGGGAGGGACCGCCAGGATCACCCAGCCCAGCCCCTGTCCCTGCCCAGACCCCCACCAAGCCCACCCTGGGCATCCCTGGCAGCGCTGTCCAAAGGCTCCTGGAGCTCTGGCAGCCTCGGGGCCGTGCCCATTCCCTGGGGAGCCTGGGCAGTGCCAGCACCCTCTGGGGGAAGAACCTTGCCCTGAGCTCCAGTCTGAGCTGCCCTGGCCCAGCCCCAGCCGTGCCCTGGCTCCTGTCCCTGTCCCCGAGCAGAGATGGGAGCTGCCCCTCGGGAGGAGCCGGAACAGAAGTGTCCATTTGCCCACTCCGAGGAACGAGGTGTCAGCTGGGGCTGCAGGAGAGCGGCCTGAGGACCAAGGCATGGGGTCTGTCCCTCCAGAGAGCAGATAAGAAATGTGTAAATTGACTTCAGAGCACTCAAAGGCTCCTGTTTCCCTCCAAAAAACACGGACTGCCCTGTACAGGAGGCTGGTGCAGCAACACCTGCCCATCCCTGTGTCTCCCTGGGGCAGGTGTCACTTCCTCAGGGTGGCTTCTGATGCAGCTGTGGGGCCAAGGAACCCTTGCAGGTGTTTATCTCCCCCCTTCTGCTATTTTCTGCTTTACTGGAGAGCTGTAAAAGGGATAATTGTTTTACAAGTTTTTACAGTCATGGGTTTAGGGCTTGGGCATTGGGAGGGGCCCTGTGGGCTTTGGGAGGCTTGAAGCTGTTGTGGATGCTTGAGGTGAAGAGGCTGAAGGGACCCGTCTGTGGGGCAGAGCCAGGGCAAGCTGCTCCCTCTGCCCTGTGTCTTTAGGTTTGTGCTATTTTCTGCTTTACTGGAGAGCTGTAAAAGGGATAATTGTTTTACAAGTTTTTACAGTCATGGGTTTAGGGCTTGGGCATTGGGAGGGGCCCTGTGGGCTTTGGGAGGCTTGAAGCTGTTGTGGATGCTTGAGGTGAAGAGGCTGAAGGGACCCGTCTGTGGGGCAGAGCCAGGGCAAGCTGCTCCCTCTGCCCTGTGTCTTTAGGTGACACAAACACCAAAAACCTTGCACAAACTGGGCTGAAATGACCCAAAAGTGGGAGAAGCTAAAAAAGGAGGTGATTTTCAACCTTTTGGCAGGAAAGACAGAGGGACATTTTGATGCTTTCTGAGGTTTTTGTGGGGATTTTATTTTATGTAGGTTTTTGGCAAGCTGTGCTGCTGGGTGCTGCTGAAAGTTTGGGAAGCTCATGATGCGTTCAGCTGGGAACGGCGGCCGCTCTTCCCCCGCACTCTGGGGGTGTGCGGAGGACTCGGGGGTCTTGGCAGGATCAGTGAGGGGCCGCGGTTTGCGGCAGCCGGTGCGGGGAGCGCGGGGTCCGTCCCCAGCCCAGCGCTGTCCCCGTGTCACCGCAGCGCCATCCCCGCTCGGCTGTACGGCACCTCCCGACGGGCGCCGCCATGACGCCGTACGGACAGCGGGGCCCCTGGGGGCCGCCATGCTGCCGCGCGCATGCGCCGTGCTCGGCCGAGAGTCTCCATTGAGAAGAATGAGGGGCAAGGGGCGGAGCCAAGGCGCGAGGAGCCGCCGGGGGGGCGGGGCTGCGCTCCGGGGCTCCGGCCATGGCCACAGTGGATGCCGAGGTGAGTGAGTGCGGCGGCGTCCATCTACCCGGGCGGGGGGAAGGAAGATGGGGGAGCGTGGAGTGGTATCGCCCAGGGCCAGGCGGGTTCTGTCGGAGGCCGGGAGGGGGGCCGTGCCCCCGCCGCCCCATGGTTCAGTCCAACTCCTCTGAGGGGAAGAATGTGGGAGCTGCTGCCATTGTGTGTAGGGGGGCCCGGGACTCTGTATAAGTTACACCCCTCCACGGTGAGTCAGTGGTATGTGCCATACAGATTCCGGGGCTCCCCCCAATGGGAGCGAGTGCGTGTGGCGGAGGCGGGAGGGGGGAGCGGCGGGGCCGCCATCCATGTTCCGGGGCCGCCCCATGCGGCGGGGCGGCGCTGGCGCGGCTCCATCCAGAGTCCGGGGCCCGGCCGGGCGCGGCGGCGGCGGCGGCGGGCGGGCCGGTGCTATGAGCCATGCAGGGTCCGGGGCGGCGGCGGGCGGGAGCCATGCAGGGTCCGGGGCCCGCGGGCGGGAGGAGCCCCACGGGGGAGCCGGGGCCGCGCGTCCCGGGGGAGCCCGGCTCGGCAGTGTGCGCTGCCGGCGCTGCGCTCCGCTCCTCCGGGGACACAACAGCACTTCCGTGCCTCCCCTGAGCCCCGCCGACCCGCCTGGGCGCTCCCGCCGCGCCGGGCATGTACAGTCAGCGATGGAACGGT